GCAAAGTTTGCTTATAGTTGGGGGACAAGGGGTGGGCGCAGTCGGCCTGTAATACCTGATCCATGTCTACCTTCAATACACTCGGTTTGTCACCGCTTTGGACAGCGTTTACGACAGGTTTTTGGCAGTGTTTAAAAGGGTTGAGAAGGTCTAAGACATTGCGCTTTTCAACACTCGCTCCATAAGTCAAGTGAATGGTTAAGCCTATGGTTTAGCATTTGTAAATTAAGAAATTAAGAAATTGCTCATGATCAAATTATAGACATATTTATAATGTATGAAAACTTACATAAAGCCAATAGTAGTGAACAATTCATTGTTTAAATAAAAGTTAATTAACTATTTGTTAATTTTATAGTTATTTAAAACTTATGATGAATTTTGCATTATATCCGTCGAGTTTATATACTTTGAAAATTTTACAATAATTACTGCACTATTGTATGAATGCTTGTGTTCTAACGATTTGGTGGTCAATTGATCATGGTCATAAATCACGAGGGTGAAAATATAAATCATGATAATAATAGTGTATTATATTAGTGTATGTCTATATAAAATACTCGACAGATTTTTATAGACAATAAATTGATTAATAAATAATTTATACAATTTTAACATGTGTTGCATTTGTGGTGAAATTATTACCGAGAAGTATACATGTATTTGTATGGAAAGTATGGCAAACAGCCATTAATTGGTGATTAATTAATTAAATGCTCGTATAATTAATGGTTTAGTACACAATGTAATGCCATTCACTCTGAGATAACAAATAATTTAATTAATTAATCCATTAATCTGTATAAATGTTATTAGTTTTACGAATTTTAATCTGATTTAAATGTAATCATAAAATTTAAATTATTATTTAATTTAATTCTTATTTAGCAAAATATAATTCTCGCTACAAATATTAATATATTTCATTAAAAAATTATAGTTATAAATATAAGTAATATGTGCTAGCTTAGTTTGGCTTAGTTTGTGACCATTAGATCTGATTTGTGACAACTTTTGCCACAATTTTCTTCATTACATTTCAATTGCTTTTCATTCAAATGAACACAACTTTTGTGTTGAAATAAATGTTGAAATAATAATACAAAACTTTGATTACAATCATTGAAATCACATTTAAATTGTCTAATATTTAAATAACTTAAATGCTATTTAATTAACATTTCGTGAAATTAATAATAATTATAATTATGTTTGAAATGAATGGCAATTAATGAGAGCCCAAGTAATTCGTAGCCAAATGCACGTGAAATTATACAAAAGATTAAGAATAAACAAATAACGTTACGCTTAGCCATACATTTACAGCACCCCTACTATTGAAAACTTTTGCATTCCTTAACAATACAATCGCAACACTCGCTCGCAATACACCCCCTCTCCCACCCAATCACACGAACGCGTGTAACGTATTATATGAATGCTTTCAACACTGGTTTCGAGTATTTTAGTGACAAAAACAGAAACTGAAAGTCGTTTTGAATTTGTGTCACAAAAAGAGATCACAAATCAATTGATCCGAAGAAGTGATGGCGACTGCGATGGCAGAGATGGCAGACATGGCTGAAGCGGAACGACTGGAAGCGTCTATGAATAGGGATGCCATCGACTTCTTCCGATCGCTCGTCAATTACAAGACATCTGCGGGAAAGAGCACTCGTCCGACCAATTTTGCCGTAAGTGTCGCCACTTTCTGGCCATCGATGGCCGCACCGACGGGTCCGCCACCCGATGGCGGGTCTGTCTGTCACACGTGTGTGCGCTCGCGCTGTCTGTCTATGGGAACAGCTGAGCGGTCGATGAGGTTTTGGATGCATTAGTTTAACCATTGGTTTGTATTGTCTTTTAGGGACATATCGGGCGTCACATGGGATCCGATCTGAAGAAGTGGTTTCTGGCCAAATATCCGTATCACTCGGATTTCGTGAAGTTCTTCCACGAGAACGACAATGTCTTCGTCTATGACTACATGTCGGGTGAGGTTAAGCTGCGGCTGTCGTCCACTCAATACGTAAGGCCCAGACGTTTGGCTTATCTCGAGATCCAATGCTCCGATCCGTCGGTAAAAGACGACAAAATGGCGGCCAATGTCTGCGAATTGGAGCTCTTTCTGCACGTCTTCCGAGAACTGGTCACCGGTTATGAGTT